TGCCCTTTTTTTTTTTTTACTATTACCCTCTGATAGGGTTTATACAGATGTCTCCAAAAGATAAGAAAAATAAATCACATCATACAAAAAACAAGAAAAGTAAATCACATCATTCTGGTGGGGTGTTTATTCCTTGCTTTTGCTTTCTCTTTTGCTTTTTGCTTTTGTTTTTCTCTTTTCCCCGTACCTCTCTCTTTTATTGCATTTTATTATTCTGTTGCTGAAGTCCAGGTGCATTACCCTTTGCAGATGGCAGACAAAAGTAAAGTGAAGTTCTCTTTACTTTGCTTTACTTTGAAGATTGTAGATGGCAGATGGCGGGGTCTCTGTCTCTGTCTTTTTCTTCTATTTTGCTTTGCTTTTGCTGTCTTTTAGAAAATGGCAGACAATAACAACATGATTATTAATAGAAAATCCTTGTAGATCTTCCCAAGGGCAAAAGCAGCCTTCTGCTAGAACTTTGTCCCCAAACCTTAGATGCGTTTCGAGCTTTTGAACAGACTTTGGATGCCAGGGAAAGGTACTCCAACTTCTTCAGACTGTCGTCGGCACCGCAATACATAAGTGTACAGCTTCGTCGTCGGCACTCCCACTTTTTCTATGGAACATCCGAACTTGATTAGGATGACAACATTGACCGTGTTGTTCACCGGGACTACATTGACGGTGGACTGGACAGACTGGAAGTCCCCGGAGCCGTTCATGTCAACCATGACCAGGCGGTGGCCGCTGGGTCCAACCCACTTGTGGTGGGGCTTAGAGTTGAAAACTCGAGGCTTCCTCAGATTCTCCCCCTTCTCGTTTAAACATCCAGCTCCGGAAACGCAATCGTTGCGCAAGTCGGAGATGCCCAAGAAAATCAACAGAAGGCCAATGGCTTGATTCCTTGTGATGAACATGGCTTTTATAGATACAAAAATGTTGTTTTTGTCTCCCTTCAGCTTCTCTTTAAGCAAACATGTGGAGAGTATATAGATCCAACTTTTGGGTTTTTTTTTGTGTTGAGGGATAGAGAGACTGTGATTACCACCACCAATCCCCGCACAACAAAATGCAAAACCAAAATCCACCATCGATGAGCTTCTTAATCTGCTTTACTTTGGGTCTTTGTTCTACGTGAAGTCGCAAAGTGATTTCACCCAGATTATTCTAACCAGGACCCACGAGAGAGAATGCTGCTTGACTCACGATACCATCACTGACGACGACACTGAGATGCTCGCCCCGAGGGACTTGGATTTGATTTCGTTTCTTGGTGAGTTGTTGATCTCGCGGCCTGGCGATTCAAGCTTGTCGTATAAGAATGCATTGCAATGCCTCTATGAATGCCTCGATCCTCTTTAACTAGATCAGTCCCAACACGGTCAAATTAACACAGGTTCTTCCTCGACAAGAGCCTGATTGCCATGATCATGCGGACCCAGATGCTTGACCCCATCTCCAATGGAGAAGAAACACACAGCCTTGCAATTGCACAAACTCTGCCCCACCAAAAGAGCATTCAAATAAAAAATCGCCATTGACAAACTCCACCCCATTGCAAGCTAATAACAGCGACAAGGTAGCAGAAGGCGTTGACGGTGGGAAAATCGGAGGTGGTGGCCATGATGGAGAGAGAGATTGCGGTGAAGCAGAGCTGGCAGAGACGCAAGGCGAGCCCACCGGCGGTGCTAGGCATGCCTTGGACGTCTTTCATCCTTACTCTGAGGGCGTTCTGGGCTGTCACGTCAGTCGTGGGTGGGGCCTCCACTGGATGGCGTACCCAATCTCTCTGCGCACCCAATCTACACAAAGGCAAAATTGATCTCGATGACACCCTGAAGTGAGAGTCGGGGGGAGAAGATGGCGATGAGGATGGAGTTGGAGTTGAGCGTCGCGTTGGAGATCTGAAATAAGAAGAAAACGGGGCCGGAGATGCAAGTGAGGGGCTTCGAGCAAGGAAGAGTAGGAGCCGGAATGGGCCCACTGAGCTAGGAGGAGATATGAATTTCTTTTATTCGAATCCTGCATTCTCCACGGCCACTGGCCAAATGGGTTCCCTGAAATTTATGCAGAGATTCAATATATCGGTGGAAAACAAACGAATCGAAAAGAAATTTAACTCTTCACCGCCCAGACCACCTTAAACGAAGCAAAAGGTAAAAAACACAAGCTTTCCTTCAAATGGTAGAAAACCATGAGATGGGTAGCTTTAGATTTGGCTGGTGAAACATGTTTGCTCATCAGCTGGTGAGCAAAACCAATTGCAAAAGGAGATACTGAAGGGAGAAGGAGAGAGAAAAGAAACTGTGGTTGAGTTTCGGAGTTTTCGTTTATGCATTTTTGAGATATGGGTTTTGCAGTGGCTTTGGTTTCTGGGTTTCTGTGACTTTGCAGATTCACGGCGGAGGTGAAAAAATGAAAGAGAACCGACATAGTTTTTCGTGTCGATTCCCACAGACGGCGCCAAATGTTGATGCACAAAACCGGAGGTCTTGGAACAACGTAAATCCGATCGTGAATCTGCAAGAAATGTAAATAACACAAGATGTATTGTGGTTCACCCCAAGGTTTGGGCTACGTCCACACTGATTATGTATTTATCTAAGGGAGAGAGAGCTCTAAGAGTGAGAGCTTTGAGAGGGGGTGAGAGGGCCTAGGAATTAGCCTCCTCTAATTGTGAGGGTGATGAGTCATTTTATAGAATAAGGGCTCATCACTTATTATATATTTGCCCCTTCCTTTATCACATAATTACATTTAAGTCCTCCGAGTATTTGTACGAGATCTAAATACGAGGCCCTAAATATGGTATAAATAGACCTAATAGTTGAAGTAGTTTTATGTAATTTACCCTGAATTTTATGATTAAAATTTGACATCTAATTAGTTAATACGGACAATGATCAACCCATGCGCATGGGAGAAAAGTTGTATGCATAAGTGAGTCTTCCTCTTCTGAAGGCTTTTATGATGGGAAAATTTCCTAATGATGATCATTTTCGAATCCTCTGTGCAGGAATCTTAGGGATCCTCACATCTTAACCATTCATCGTAAATCGTGCAGCCAGTTTTTTTTCAGGTACTATTTGTGTTTAATTTTAAATAAAATATTCAAATGATTTCTGACCACACGATGAACAATGAATGACTAAGATGTGAGGATCCCTAGGATCCCCACCGTTTGGATCCGAATGGGATCCAAATCCCAAATTTCCCTAGCTACGCTTTCCTCATTTAATGCGTGTTAAGCATGGGATTTACTTTCAAGGAGGATTCTTTTTTCTCTTCTTCCCTCTTATTAAAGCGTTATAACTAAGGGAATAGGATCCTTTTCGGATCATACACATTCAGATCCTCAAGTTCCTTCTTCTTTACAGTCTGAGTCGGCATCCTAGCTTCTCCGGAGTCGGCGTGGTGGCTTCCCTGGAACTAGTAACCGGAAACGTCGTAGTCGTCTTGAACAACGAACTTCGCTCGTCATTTTGAAAAATAGGGTGCATAGAAGTTCCCAAGAGACAAACAGAAAAAATGAAGAAGAAAAAGTAGGATTGAAGAAGAAGAAGAAGAAGAAGATTGAACAAGAGGAACCAGAAGCGTGAAGAGATGAAAGAAGATGAAGAAGGATCTGAAGGATCGAGAGAGGATCCTATCCTATAATTATGTCATGTCAACATTTTATATTAAAAAAAAGATAAAAAAAAGTATGAGAAGAGGAAAGAAAAAGAGATGAGAATAAGAAGGAAGATATTTTTTTTGTCAAAAAAAGGAAGAGAATTTTACTCAAGATTGAACAAGAGGAACCAGAAGCGTGAAGAGATGAAAAAAATGAAGAAGGATCCTATCACATAATTATGTTACGTTAACATTTTATATTAAAAAAATAAGATAAAAGAAAAGTACGAGAAAAGAAAAGAGAAAGAGATGAGAATAAGAAGGAAGAGAGTATAGAGTTTTTTTTTTTGTCAAAAAAAAAGGAAGAGAATTTTACTCTTCTACTTTTGGCTTGTAGAAGGTTGGGCGACATTTCCTTCCTTCTAGACTCTTTGCTGGCATGTAATAATCTTGGCGGTATAATTTGGTTACCACACTTTTTCCAAAGAGCATCTTCCATTAAATAATATAAAGTATTATATTTGGGTAAGGCCAACTAACCCAATAAACAGATAAGCAAAAAGTCCATGACAAATTGGGAAAGCTAGATAGACCCAATACTCCATCTCCGACGACGAGCTCAAGCGCGATCGATCTCGACACCGACAACGACGGCTTCATTTACCTCGACGAGTTCAACGCCTTCTGGGTCGTCAGCTCCAAGTTGTCGTCACCTGCGGGGCTGGGTTCGTCGGGTCGTGCTGAACTTGGCTGACTTCAGACCACTCGGGAGCAGGATCGGGCAAGGATTGTATGACTGGGTATTCAGGCAGCTCTGGGCCCAGGAGTAAGATTTTCCGTTTTTTGGGCAATAATTACCCAATTGCCTTGACAATTGAGCATGGGTTGGAAGAACGAGTATTCTCTCCGATCATTTGTGTGAGGATCCGAAATTTTTTTAATTATGTTTGTATTGTGCAGTAGGAAATTATTTTAAATTTTTTATTAAAAATTTAAATACAAAAAGTATTAGATGAAAATTGATCGTGCAATTTATAATGAACGAACATAATTAAAGAATCCTTTAAATCCTTATAAAGATGGGGAATCCGGAAAAGAGAATCTGGAAAAGATCCTCATATGCTCTCACAGGGGAGATAGGGGATAGCTCACGAAGAGACTATTTTGGTTACCACACTTAACATGACTAAAAAGAGGAAGGAAAAACATGGAGTTGGATGGTAAACTAAATATGAAAAATCCAATATGAGAAAAGTGAAGGAAAAAATCTATACAAGGAGCACACTCAATGCTTTTACTGTTTTACATATGAACGTATGATATATATCGTGTCCAAAAACCTATATTATTACTCCATCTTCTACTAAAAACACAATAAATAAAGTATACAAAAACCCCAATAAAACCTAGAGCTTAACCTTCCTCTTACATTTTTGTTCTTGAATTGCCTGGCTGGAAATATTAACAGTCATAGTACAATTCATTTTCACAATCACATGTTTCTTGATAATATTCAACATCTTCACCCTTCCTGGAATTCTAGAATAGCTACTCATGGTCATCAACCCAGAATTGAAATCCGCCCTCAAGTTGGGGTCGGACGTGAGCCGGTCTGTGATCATATCAACCGTGATATTCATCCTCATGGTCCGTCGAGCCTTAGCATGACCAGGTGCGCCATGAGCCTCCCCCACCACCACGCCGTGATAATACAAGGTCGTGGTGGTGTTGGTATACTTGAACGAGGCGAAGTTGGGATTTTTCACCGACACATCGGCTATTAGTGACAGGTTTGAGCCTGGCTTAGGGGCTGTGTTGTTGTTGATCAACTCCAGCCTTGTAATCGTGATCTTATTCATCTTGATCTTTGGCTCCTTCACACGGAACACAGTGAAAGCTAATATTATGATCACAACGGCTTGGATTAAGATCACAGCTGTTATGCAGCCGCAGCACTTGATGAACTTTCTTCGTCTAACTTTTTTCAAGTGAAAAGCAGCCTCATCGGCGTCGCTGCTTGGGTGGATAGCGGCAGGGGCTAGCGGTCTGACTTGCTCCCCGTCCACCATGGCTAACTGAGAGAGGGGTTGAGAATTATAGAGATGAAGAAGAGAAGGGTTAAGGAAAGCCGAGGTTTGCAAGTGGATGCTAATGTGGTGTATTTTATAGTGTTATGGTAGTGGAACTAAGGAAGTGTGTACGTGGACTTAATTGTTTTTTCTCCAGTTTTTTGACATTAAAGTCAAGAGACTTGTTTTTTGCCTACCCAAAATATCCGAAGCTGCTGAATGTTGACTTCCAAACAACAACATGAATTGAAGTTCACACATAATTAAGTGTACGAAGAAGCTGCTACATTTGAGGCTGCGACATAATCTCAGATGAAAATATTTATCTTGTTCTATTTTTAAGTGTGGAAAAGATTAAAATGGTTGTGGCACTTCATAGACCCAAAATGCATGGGAAAAAACTTATGTAAGATGATCTCTCTAAGTATGATATGATTTATCATTCAAATGATTTCATGTGTATAATGGAATTGTCTTTGGCCAATTATTGTCACTATATCCTTATGATATATTTTGGGTTTGTACTTCTCCGTCTCCTGCTAGACATGCGTTGATGTGTGATACTTTATGTACGGAAGACCCTTGTGACTCTATTGTTTAATTTAGTTTATTTCTTTCAAAAAAAAAAGTAAAAAAAAAAGAAGCCTTTCAATGGTTACTCAGCCAATAACATCAATAGCCACGACCGAATCCATAACGGTTGATCAAATTTCTAGTATTGCCATCCTATTGAGGAACCATATTTTCAAATGTGTAAAATGCGAAGGGGGCGATTGAATCATGCTACAATAATTGCTCTGAACTAACTAATTAAGTTACAAACCTCCTGCAAAGGTGCAACATCAAGCATCGAGACCTGTGCCAAAGTCTAACTATAATATTCAGAAAAATTTAAGGGACGAATCTTGTGTCTCGAATCATCAATAGCTACACCAATGAAACAAACAGATCACTAATTTGTAGATGCATTGTCTCTATTAGTTAAGTAGACAAGTTTTCTGTCTCTGCAAAGAAAAGTAGAGACACTTCCACATCTGTACCTAGTGAATATATATTTCTTGTAGTGTCACATTGAAGTTCTTCTCAAATTCATGCCATTGTTCGTGGTACTTTAATTCGGACAATTGCACACCATGTTTGCAATAGCTCGGGTTTGAATCAATTATCCAATCGGAAGCATGCCTAACATGACGGAATTCATTCCGAAAATGATTGATTTTGTGCTGGCATGATGTCTCTTTTAAGAAATGTCAAATATGGTGGTCGCTGGTTCCTACCTGAATGAAATTTCAAAACCATTATTTCATTCAATTGACCATTGTCATCTAATATACATAATTATTATGTTCATTAGTCTCCCCACCAGACTTTTAACTACTTTCTCCACATTATTAATCAAGTCCAAAGACGTCTTTCTCTTCCCGGCGCTCTATTTTTGACTATTTTTTTAGCTAGCATTATAACGACCTTCTATCTACCACCATAACTACACTACGAAAGGCTTGCTAATTTCAAAGGTATATATATATTTTTTATTTGGTAGGACAACTCGGGTACTAATAGGAGAGCAAAAAATAATTTGAAAAATTCTGGAGCTAACACGTGAATTTTTTTTTCTCGAAAAAAGACAAAAATATCCTTATTAAATTGGTAAGGTCCACATTTAATCCACTTGTAGTTCAACATCTCTGAGAGTATCTCCAAAGGAGATGTCAAAAATTTCACATTAACAATAATGGTAAAAAAAAGAAAAGAAACAACACTAGTGTTTTCCAACCAAAATGTCAATTCCTATATGGAATGACATGGAATGACAACAGATGAAGTTGCTATCAAATTTGACAGGAGCTTCAAATCTATTTTTAGTGGATAATAAAGGGTTTTTATAATTTTTGTATTATCTTTTCTTTCAAAATTACAAATACAATTATGAAAAGTAAATAACAGAATTAATAATAGTTTAAATTTGACATATGGTTGGAGAACAAAATTTACAAAAAATCAATGTGCCACATATGCTTTTAGATTTAAATTTTTGTTTAAAAATTTGACATCTTTTTTAGAGATGGTCTAAAGACCTGAGCAACTGAATACAACCTTATCAAGCTCTCATGTCCATGATAAGGAGAAAAATCACACATTAAAAATATAATTAATTACTAAATTTTATCTTTAATACTCTCTTAATTGAATGTCAACTTAGTCAAGTAAGGAATCACAATTATATCCAATAAAAAAAATTTAAAAATAACCTAAGATATTATTTAAAAATAACCTAATAACTAAAAAAATGTCGTACCCAGTGCACAAGGCTCCCGCTTTACGCAGGGTCTGGGAGAGGTGAATGTCGGCTAGCCTTACCCCCATTTATGGAGAGGCTGCTCCCAAAAATAACCTAATAACTAAAATTCCAAAATTAACAAATCTGGTGACTAACAAGAATAACAAAAAATTAAAAAAGAAAAAACAAGAAAATGAGGATATATTGTGAGGGTGTAGAGAAAGAAAAGGAGCCGGAGAGAGCAACGTAGTTCATTGGAAGTTGGAACATTAAAAATCAACACAGCTTCTAGGTGTAAATCTCTGAATAACCTTTTTATTAAAAAGTAGGTGGAGAAATAAAAGAAACGGATGAGTATATCCGCACTCTAAATAAATGTACATATTAAAATACTCGATGCGACCTTTTTCATATTTTTTTTAAGATCACTAATATTTTGCAATTTAGAAGAATTGGTACGATTGGGTGGGGGGTGAGGATAACTAATTAGGAAATTGGAATATGGTATGGTGAAATGAGATTGGGTTGGATGAATTGAAGTCTGAGACTGAAGGTTTAAAGTCTTTCGGGCTTTAATTTTTTTCTTAAAATGGTTTGAATAAAAAAACTATGAGTTGAATGTGATTTCACGTGGTTCTATGCAAGGAAGAAAATATCGGTAATATCGGAAATATCGGTAGTCCGAAAACACGGAAATATCGATGGAAATATCGGGATAATATCGATATCGATAAAAATTACATGGAAACCACGGAAATTGTAAGAAAAACTTGGAAATTTTTAATGAAACTTTGTAGGATGTTTATTTAGTCAATTATCTATTAGTTTATCACAAAAAATTGGAAGGAAATGCATTGCATGATGGATTTAACTGATTTAAGTTGATTATATAGCGAGCTGGCAAACATTGTGAGTGTAGAAAATATGTAGTAATTAATGAAAGAAGTTTAAACACACCATAATCATTTATATATAATTAATTAGTACAATATTTGGAGGTTTTATTTAGGATATTAAAAAAAAAAAAAAAGGAAGTGAATAAAATGATGAAGAATAATGTGCCGAATTTGACACTTTAAATTTCTTACACATAAGCATGCGTCTAGGCGTTGAAGTTCCAAATTATAGTATATCAATTAACGATTGAAAATCAATACATTGAATAAGACTAAACTTTAATTTGGATGCCGATTATGTTTTTTCAAGTTTATATAAAGTAAAAGAATTGAATTTTGGAAGCCAGGAGTGTGTCAATTGAATTTTGGCTGGCGTGCAAGGTATCAATCTCTTCGTCTCGTCGAGTAGTACAACTTTCCTTTTTGTTTCACTCAATTTCGTTGAGTATTGAAAAAGTTATACTAATTTGAATCTTACCCAGTTTCCGGCGACCTCAGTGGCTTTAGAGGAAATTTCCGGCCAAAACACAACGAGTCAGACGTCGTGTGAGGTACCATTCTCTTCGTCTCTTCGAGGGCTACAACTTTCCTTTTTGTTTCACTCAATTTCGTTGCTTATTGAAAAAGTTATACTCATTTGAATCTTACCCAGTTTCCGGCGACCTCAGTGGCTTTCGAGACAATTTCCGGCCAAACCACGGCGAGTTGGCTGGCGTTCAAGGTATCAATCTCTTCGTCTCATCGATTAGTACAACTTTCCTTTTTGTTTCACTCAATTTCGTTGAGTATTGAAAAAGTTATACTCATTTGAATCTTACCCAGTTTCCGGCGACCTCAGTGACTTTCGAGGAATTTTCCGGCCAAACCACGACGATTCAGATGTCGTGTGAGGTACCATTCTCTTCGTCTCTTCGAGGGCTACAACTTTCGTTTTTGTCTTGCTTGATTACGTTGAGTTTTGACAAAGTTATGGCTGTTTAAAGTGGGTGTAAATTTTCGACCGAAAATTCTGATTTTCTCTCCCACTGGGCGAGTCCCACATCGCCCATGTGAGGGCAGTGAGCAAGCAAATTTTCCTATAAAACCCACATCCCCCCTGCTAGAAAATCCAAGCTTGTTCGGCCTTTGGGCTATGATCAAGTGAAGTATGTGTTGAGTTTTATCAACATATTTAAGTATATTTTAGTATTATGTCGTGATATTATTGATAATATCGAAAATATCGCGATATTTTGATGAAAATCATTTGGATGGTTAAAAAAATTTCGGATCTCCAAAAAAACGATAATATCGGCGATATTTCGCCGATATTATCGATATTTTCTTCCTTGGTTCTATGCTATTTAAATGGACAGAAGTTGCCAGGTCATTCCACTTCTGGTGTCCTCTCGTGCCCTCTGTTTGTGTGGTCACGGTTAATGCACGTTAATATTTTATATTACTATTCATTTTTATCTTATTATCTCTATAAAAAAAATATAAAATGTTGACGTGGTTTAACCGTGACCATACAAAACAGGAGGGCACGGGAAGGCACCAGAAGTGGGAAGGCAGACAATCCTTGTCCTTTTTTTTTATGGTCGAAGAGTACCAAGATATATTGAAAGAGAGGAAAAACCTCCAAAGTTACAGTGGTACAGGAAGGTACGTGTGGAGTGAGGATCCGATGGATTCTCTTTGTGAAGATTTCGGGAATTCTTAAATCACATTCGTTTATCGTACATCGTGCGATCATAAATTATTGTAATTTTTTTTATTTAAAATTGAATATAAACTGTACCTGTTTGGGCCCAAAATAATTTTTGGGGCCGAGCTTAGAGTTG